TATCCAGTTTGTGTGATGATAAATTCCTGTGATCATTTAACTTCTAGTTCTACTAAGTTAATGAGATCATTTAGTGACGATTTCAATTTGACGAACACTTTCTTATCAAGAGCAATATCTAATGCAGAGCAAGAAACAAGGAAAGAGATGGGGTAAGTTTCCCCACATATAATAGAATGCAAAGATAAGTATGTCTTGTTAAAGCATATCTTGAAGACTCTTAAGGCACACTGAAGATATTACCATTCTGTGCCAACATGCGTTCACTACATGAACTACAAATGTAGTTCTTTCTACACTCAGCAAAACCTCAGCAGATGAAACTAAATGAAACTAACACTCAGTCACACCAAAATCTTGGTTTGAATTAAACTACCTCAGCCGTGAACACCATTTGCCAGAGAGAGCTACACTCAGGTCTGAAGAGCATAGGTGTTTGAAGATGTAGGAATTCATATTTCCCTTCAAACTTCCCACTGTGTTTGCATGCCCGCCCCATGGGAAAGCATCCTAGAAGAACTAAGAGAAAGCTTGCTAACCATATCATGCATTCATAGCCTAGTAAAACTGGGTTACATCAACTTGTGCTTGAAGGATGGTAGACGGACCACATTCCAAAGCTTCTGTGCTGCCATCCTTTCTTGCTATGTTATGCAAGGTTTGTAGGAGATACCATAGAAACACTGGAAGAGGCCTCCTTGCTCCTTTTAATATAGACTCTGTATTAACTAGGTGCATTTATATATGTAATAAATATATAACAAATATATGTAAGTAAGTACATAAGTAAAATATACATATATGTGCATATATGTCTTTGCAAATATTTATTGTTAAATAAATATTTAGTTAACATTTTCCTTTAGTTCTATCTTCTTCCTTCTCTATCAGACTATGAATTCCTAGAGGCTTTTCTCTAGCTCCTTCTTAAAATATTCCTTTCCACTTTCAGTCATTCTTTAGTATATTATTCTAGAATCTAAGCCATTTAGACCAACTCTAGATAAATGTGATTTATCCAAACCTGAAGGTAATGACTTTCATTAACTGATATTTATAAATACATCTGTAAATAAACACCAGCACTGAAAGGCTCTACCTTATTTACTTTTTAAAAAATACTTATTTATTTATGCATACAGAACTGGGGTACAGGCCAGAGGTACAGGGGCAGTGAGAGGATTCATCAGAGACAGAACGGGGCACAGAATAGGCTGAT